TCCAGTGTACAGGATAAGGTACACTGAAAGGTTTCTTGCTGATTTTTTTTTTTTTGAGGGGAGTGGGGACAGAGCCTCACTGTGTCGTCTAAACTGGCTTCAAACTCATGCCAGTCCTCCTGCCTCGGGAGGACTCAGTCTCTTGACGCTGGCATGGCAGACATGCACCACCATGCCTGGCTTCTTACTGATTTTTTGTTTTTGTGTTGAGACAGGGTCTTGCTATGTAGTTCAGGCTGGCCTTGGGCTCTCGGTATTCCTCCTGCCTCAGCCTCCCAGGTGTAGGATTACAAGAATGTGGCACCATATCTGGTTAAAAAATTAAGTTTTTGGCTGGGATTGGTGGTGCGTGCCTGTAATTCCAGCACTGGGAGACTGAGGCAGGAGGATTGCCAAAATGCCAGCCTGGGCTACATAGTAAATTCAAGGCCAGCCTGAACTGCTACATAGTGAGACTTTGTCTCAAAAAACAAAACACAAAAAACAATTAAGCTTTTAATATGGAGGTGAATTATAAACTCACTTAGTGGTAAGTAAATTAAGTATTGCTCTCCTAAGGAACATATTCTTATAAAAATTAAATAATTAGGGCTGGCTTTGGTTCAGGGGTTCCATCGCCTGCTTCGCAAACACAAGGGCCGGAGTTCAATCCCCGGTACCCAAAAGGAGATGCCCCTTGCACCCACCCTACCTGCACTTCAAAGTGTTTCTGAGATGTGTCCTTCCTAACACTTTCCCAGATGGCGCAAATAACGTGTAGCTTCTCTCTCTTCTAAACTTTCCCACTGCTTCATGCTTTTGTTGCTCACCTTAGCCCTGTAGTAGATGTTATTAATAACGTGGGCCTCTGGAGACAGTGAGAGCAGGTGTCACTTGGCAAGTGTGTCACGGATGCATTTTGCTAATGAGGCGAAAGTAGCGGAACCCCGAAGCGTCGGAGCGTTACTATCGCAAGACCCGCGCCCCGCGTGTCCTTCCTGCCTGTCGGCTCCGCCCGCAGTCCGGGTGCGCAGCACTTTGCCTGCAGCTCGCCTCAGCGAAGCTTCGAGTCAGTGCTCTTCCCTCTCCAAGTACCTGCAGCCGGGCCGGCAGTGGGCAGTGCCGGGCGGCTGGGGCTTTGGGCCTGAGGGAGCACCGGGAGCCACGTGTGGGGCAAGGTTGTCTTCCGCCTAGAGAGGACCGGTGGGGGTCTTTCGAAGGGACCGGAAAGATGCTTAGGCGCCTCCTTCCACAGGGAAAAGCCTGTCAAAGGTGCTGTCTCTCTCTTTCCCCCTATACTGGGGATCAAACTCTGGACCTTTGCACCACTGAGCTAAATCCCAGCCCTAACCTGTTGAATTTGTAAAAATTAACAAAGCTTTTCAGGGGACAAACTTGTTTCCCTATTAAAACTAAACCTAAGTAGGGGCCGGGATTTAGCTCAGTGGTGCTGCCACCTGCCTCACAAGCACAAGGTCCTGAGTTCCATCCCTAGTACCCCCTGCACCAGAAAAAACTAAACATTTTTGAAGATTGTTAAAGAATCTATACTTACTATGTATTAATTATGTTTTGTTTTGTTTGTTTTCTGAGACAGGGTCTCTGTATATCCCAGGCTGGCCTTGAACTCACAGTGATCCTCCTGCCTCAGCCTCCCAAGTGTCGACATTATCAGTGTGCACCACCACACGTGCCATATTTTTTTCTTAAAATAAATTTTCCTAAATAAATTTTTCCTGGCAGTTGGTCAAGTTTTTACAGTGCCAGATCTTGTTGCTTCCCAATTTACACGGTCCCCAACTTACACACCACTTTTTTGTCCCTAATTTGTATACATAAGTTATAGAGAGACACTAAGGCATGACCCATTTTATTTTGGAGTTTATATTATTATGTCATAAAAATGACTTATAAGAGCCAGGCATGGTGGTGCACGCCTGTCATCCCAGCACTTGGGAGGCTGAGGCAGGAGGATTGCTGTGAGTTCCAGACCAGCCTCGGCTACAGAGTGAGTTAGGTCAGCCT